TTAAGAGGAAAATAATGCATAACTTTTAGTCAAATTACTATAACTATTAACTCAATAGACACAACTTTTATTCAGAACTCATATGAAGTCTAAAGTCTAATAGCTTAAATTGTAACATAAAATGTAAATTAAAGAGGATAAAAGTCTAACTAGATAGACGATGTTTCAACAAAACGTTAGCGTATGAGCTTCATTTGGTATTCACAAAATTATACTCTCTTTTTTTCAATGAAAGAAACAGTGATATAACAACCTCCAGTTGCAATTACGTTATACACAAGATTTGGGCATCATGATCTCATTTCCAACAACAATTACGTAAATGTGAAATTTAATCCATTAAACCATAATGGCATAATGAAAAACTGCATTATAAATTCTCACTGAGGAACATCCAGAATTGCCATATATTTCTTATATGCTATCTCTACAAGTTTGTCAAAAGCAAGCTGTCCAAAGTCCTTCTCTTAACACACTCTTGTCTTATCAACATAGTTCAGCAGCTTGTGCAGCATACCGTTCTTTTGCGATACCAGTTTGTGATACTTCTTGTCTAAATTACTGATATATCCCCTAAATTCTACTCTACTTTCAAATGAAGTTGATTATCATTTAAGCATTTTAACAAACACTTGATAGGTATATAAGTGACTTATATATCATTACATCTTAAGTTAACACAACATAGAGTATAATTCATTATGCTAAACATCATCTTTACGCAGCACAAATAGAACATTTAAGTAACAGAAACATCATTTTGAGTAAGAGAGTCATCAAATAAATATAAATAATTTTGTTAAAAGGAACAACAACAATTAGTACGCATACTAGTGGCGGAAACAAACTAATCATACAAAGATTCGGAACACACTAATTAATTCAATATTATAGAAATTACAAATTACCAGATGAAATTTGAAATTCACTCGAGTCCACAATACAGCCTTCGTCGTAGTAAGTCGGATAGAATAACAAAGTAGAAAATTGCGAACATGTTAGGTCTAGTCGTCTGGATGAGGAAATCGAAGAGATCGAAGATGAAGAAATCTTTTATGAGAGATCGAAGATGAAGAAATCGAAGATGAAGAAATCAAAGATGCAGAAATCGAAGATGCCGAAATCGAAGATGAAGAAATCAAAGATGAAGAAATTGAAGATGAAGAAATCGAAGATTCAAAGATGCAGAAAGAGATTGACGGGAGAACATGTTAGGTCTGGTCGCTAGATGAGGGATCGATTGAATAGGAGAAAAGGTTTAAAGATGGTTCAAATAACAAAAATGCCATTAATGAACGACGGAAGTTTGAAGGCAACATGCGATGGAGATGGGGCTAGATGAGGAGATCCAACGGTGTGAATAACTTCTCACTTTTCAGCCTAAGATGGACTTCTCATGGGATCTTTTCTCTATATATATGTGTGTGTGTATATATATATATATATATATATATATATATATATATATATATATATAGGGAAGAGATCACATACAAATCATGTTTCCCGTACAAAATGCAAACTCATCTTGTACGTTCAAATTGGGCAAATCAATGGCTATCCATCTATTAACCACCGTAGCATTCAATGAGGTGAAATGCAGGGAACTAAAAACGGTTGGATAATTGAGATGCACGATTAGTAAGCAAGGACAACAAAGTAAATTAACATTTTTTTAAAATGAGCCGCATAGTCTCTTATGGAAAGAAATCCCAAAAAATCAGGTAACCCACAATTAAAAGTTCAACCACCCATTTATGTTTAGCAAATTTAAAAACAGAAACATACGGAGTTGCATGCAACTACTAAATTTCAACCACCCATTTGTGCATAGATTAACATCTGAGTTTTTAGCCATCACGAATTAAGGTTGCAATAGCATATCCAATTATTCTTGATTTTGGGAATTATTCACTTATCACTTTTCAAGGATTGTTCAAACTTTCACAAAAAGTAAAGAGACATTTATATACTTGACTTTGGGAATTATTCACTTCCTAATTAATCTTTCATTTTTGAAACCGAAAATATTAAGGCAATGGAAGGTGCATTATATATTAATAACGTGTGCATAATTTAGAACTTCTAACATGTTAACTTTGTAAGATGTCAACATAGGTAGAAGTGTGCACATTAAGGTTATATGATGTGCATATTAAGGTTAGTGGATGTGCATATTAAGGTTACGAGATATGCATTTTATATTTATAATGTCTCTATAACTTAGATTAGAACTACATAGTGATAAAATATGCTGACATTTTAGTAATTCATATATTGCATTTTATCATTATGATATATGCATTTTGGAAGTTCATATATTGCACTTTAGTAAGATGATATGTGAACTTTAGAAGTTCATATTGCATCTTATCGCTATAGCATCTACATTTTAGTATCTCATATGTTGCATTTTTATCATTAAGGCGTGACATTTTAGAATATCGTATGTTGCATTTTAGTAAGCTGAGATGTGCATTGTAGAAAACAATTTGCTGCATCTTACCGTTATGAAATCTGCATTGTGCACTCAACCGACATGCATACGAAATTCAGGGTATAACAAGATGCATAATGTACGAGAAACATATTCTAAATGGTAAGATTTTTCATACTAAAAAAAGGTAAAATTTTGCATACTAAAATCAAATGAACAATACATAAATACGAAATTGTTGAATTCGTATACAAACGAATACCATAAAAAATAAAGACATCCAGCATGTACAACAAACTCCATGGCGATGCCGGAATTTTATGGCGATGCCGGAATCCATGGCGTTCAAATAGAAGAAAACCAATCAGATTCTATTAAATTTGAGATGGACCGGAGATAACGATGGAGATGGAGATGGCGTTGGGCATAGAGATGGAGATGAAAATTGAGATGAAGAAGAGATGTGTATGCTGAAAAGAGAAGATGGGGGAAGGAGATACGTATGTTGAAGAGAGAATATGGAAAGATTGTGAGTTTTTTTCTTCCCAAAATTAATACAAACCAAAAAGACTTTAAAGCCCCTCAACTTCTCAAATTACATTGCCGTATCAGATATTCAACGCATAGGAGATCAAAGAAAATGGATGGCCCTGATTAGTTTGCACTTTGTAAATTAAGAGGAGTTTGTATATGATCCTTAATATATATATATATATATATATATATATATATATATATATATATATATATAGGGATAGGTTCTAATGAGAACACTCCTTATTGTGAGAAATGAGAACTAATCCTATTCACTTATCATATTAAATCAACGGTATATTAAATGAGTGGTGCACACTAGTACAATGTATCTTCCTACATAATACACCCCCTCCTCCACAAACTTGAGAAACCGTAGACTTCATAAAGGGCACAAATGACATTACCAATATACATACTCATTATTACGTTCCTTTTCAGGCTTTCCACTTCCTACAAAATAGCAACTTGACATAATTAAAAGGATTCAAATTTGGAAACAAAGCAAAAACTGATTTTTGGAATAAGAAATCAACTTGCCGTTTTAGAATTACAAGAGTAAAGAAAGAAGTGCACTAAACTAGTATCCAACACATAATCACTAATATCTAATGCACATAAAGAAGTATCTTACACATAATTTGTATGTAAAACACCAGAACCAGAATTGTAATCCGGACAGAATAGCTCTCTCTCTCTCTCTCTCTCTATACATATATATATATATATATATATATATATATATATATATACAACTTTTCGTGTCCAGCAGGCCTGATGGGAACCGCCGTCCGGCCGAGGGCATTTCGGTCACTTCCCGATGGAATTTTTTGAGGAAATATTTTGAGCATGTTCTTCATGAAGTCTAGTTTATTCATACCAAATTTCAACTAAAAATTCAATCGGGAAGGCATTCAAATAATTTCTTGAAGTTAACTGGGCAGTTCATACATATAAACTGCGCAGTCAACTTCAAAAAATTATTTGAATGCCTTCCCGATCGAATTTTGATCTGAAATTTGGTATGGATAAACTAGACTTCATGAAGAACATGCTAAAAAAATTCATCAAAAAATTTCATCGGGAAGTGCCCGAAATGCCTCGGCCGGACGGCGGTTCCCGTCAGGCCGGATGGACAAGAAAAGGACTATATATATATATATATATAAGAATGATCAGGTCCCCACGTTCGGACAGGACCCTCCGTCCGAACATCCTCGTTTGGGGTCCTTCCGGGTGGAATTGTTTTATGAAATTTTTTGAGCATGTTCCTCATCAAGTCTAGTTTGTCCATACCAAATTTCAGCTCAAAATTCGATCGGGAAGGCATTCAAATCATTTTTTGAAGTTGACTGCGCCAAAATATACATATAAAAATGCAGTCAACTTCAAAAAATGATTTGAATGCCTTCCCGGTCGAAGTTTGAGCTGAAATTTGGTATGGACAAACTAGACTTGATGAAGAACATGCTCAAAAAAATTCATCAAAAAATTCCACCGAGAACCACCCCAAACGGCGGAGTTCGGACGGCGGCTGGACCGGGGAGGGCTGGACCTGATCTTTTTTGTATATATATATATATATATAGAGGGCTGTTCTCATCAGGCCGGCCTGACGGGCTGCCCCGTCCGGCCGAGCCCGTTTGGGCACCTTCCAGGTGGAATTTTTTGATGAAATTTTTTGAGCATGTTCCTCATCAAGTCTAGTCTGTCCATACCAAATTTCAGCTCAAAATTCGATCGGGAAGGTTGTCAAATGATTTTTCCAAGTTAACTGGTCCGGAAAATACATATTCCGGACCAGTTAACTTGCAAAAATCATTTGACGACCTTCCCGATCGAATTTTGAGCTGAAATTTGGTATGGACAAACTAGACTTGATGAGGAACATGCTCAAAAAATTTTATCAAAAAATTCCACCGGGAAGGTGCCCAAACGGGCTCGGCCGGACGGGGCAGCCCGTCAGGCCGGCCTGATGAGAAGAGCTCTCTCTATATATATATATAATCTTATTCAAACACAATTACTTCCATTTCCATGGAAAACGATAATATTACTCATAGAGAAAGAGCGCAAAGATCAAACCGCCCGCCACCCTTTTCAAACCATCCTCCCTCCAACCGCCTCAATTTCTTCAGGTGCACGCCTCTCTTCTGTGTCTATATGGGAATCATGTTTCCATGATAAATGGGTAATGTTACGCCTTTTAGGCTTTCATTTCCTCCCTTTCTGTTATCTTATTTCGTTTTTGTCCCCTTGTTTTTGTCTGGTCAGATTTGGAGTGGAGGTCGAGTGTAACTGGAATTTGTTTGTGCGGTTCATTTTGTAAATTGTTATTGATTCATCGAAATGTTATGTTCCGAAAGAAAAATGTAAATACGTAATTGCTTTGATAGGAGTTTCGATTTCTAACTGGGTTTTTGGAGGAAGGATGTGAAACTAGGTCGGCAAACGCAAAATGGATCAATTTTCCAATTATGTGCATAGTCCTGCTCATTTAGCGGTGGCGAAACGAGATCATGCTGCTTTGGAGGAGATCGTGTCATCCTTGCCTCGGCTTGCCAAGGCCGGGGCGGTAAATAACGAAGCAGAGTCTCTGGCCGCTGAGAACGACGCCGACATAGTCTCCGCCGTAATCGACCGGCGGGATGTCCACGGCCGCGAGACTCCCTTACACCTCGCGGTTAAGATGCGGGACCCGATTTCAGCTGAGATTCTGATGTCAGCGGGCGCCGATTGGAGTCTCCAGAACGACAAGGGATGGAGTGCCCTACAGGAGGCCGTGTGCTTACGGGAGGAGAACATTGCTAAGATCATTGCAAGGCATTACCAGCCTCTAGCTTGGGCCAAGTGGTGCCGTCGCCTCCCTCGGATAGTAGCTTCTGCTTCCAGGATCCGCGATTTCTACATGGAGATAACTTTCCATTTCGAGAGCTCTGTTTTGCCCTTCATTGGAAAAATTGCACCCTCAGACACCTACCGGATATGGAAACGGGGAGCTAATCTCCGTGCGGACATGACACTCGCCGGATTTGACAGCTTCCACATCCAACGCTCTGACCAAACCTTTCTCTTCCTAGGGAAGGGGTATGATGGGAATATTTGTTCAAATGATGAGAATGGGAAGATCATTTCCAGTTTGCCCCCAGGATCATTGATACTACTGTCCCATCCTGAGAAAGAGATAACAAATGCCTTGGAAGGGGCGGGAGTGGAACCAACTGAAGCGGAAGTTTGCCGTGAAGTAAAGTTGATGTGTAAGACGAATATGTACAGGCCAGGCATAGACGTGACTCAGGCTGAACTCGTCCCGCATATGAATTGGATGAGACGACATGAGAAGACGGAGATGGTTGGCGTGTGGAAGGCTAGGGTTTATGATATGCTCCATGTTATGGTTAGTGTGAAGTCACGGCGGGTCCCTGGTGCTGTGACGGATGAAGAGCTTTTTACAGTGGATGAGGGTGAAGATGGCATTGAGTGCGATGTGTTGACGGAGGAGGAAAGGGTGCAGTTAGAAAATGCACTTCGTGGGGAGAATTCAGATGATCTTCTTGAGTATGAGGAGGAGCCTAGTAAGGGCTGTAGTAATAACAAAGAAAAGAAGAGTTGGTTAGGATGGAATAGTAATAGTAAGAAGAAAAGCTCAAAGTACACTTGTCCTGAAGATGAAAAACAAAGGATAGGTAGTGATAACAAGAAGAGCAAACATGATGATAAAAGCAGCAAGAAGAAGAAGAAAAAAGGGCAGGCATCAAGTGAGGGTAAGAATGAGAGCGAGTATAAAAAGGGGTTGAGACCTGTTTTGTGGTTGACGCCTGATTTCCCATTGAGAACAGAAGAGTTACTTCCCTTACTTGATATATTAGCCAACAAGGTTAAAGCTGTAAGAAGATTGAGGGAGCTCCTAACCACAAAGCTGCCACCTGGCACATTTCCTGTCAAGGTGATTATAGATCCTCTTTTTTTTTTAATTTGCTTTTGCTTCAATCTTAAAGTAATGCTGCATCTATCTCAGATTGCTGTCCCAATAGTACCCACAATCCGTGTAGTTGTTACCTTTACAAAGTTTGAGGAACTTCAGCCACTGGGAGAGTTCTCAACCCCGCCCTCAAGCCCCACACACTTCCAAGATTCTGAACCCGCAGACTGGGAGGGACCAACCGTCTCATGGGCTTCGTGGCTTAGAGGGGTGAGTCGGGATGAGCAATCTAGCAGTGTCAGTGAAAGCTGCAGTTCTCAAAACGATATTGACCCATTCCAAATCCCATCTGATTATACCTGGGTTGACGCCAATGAGAAGAAACGTAGGAGAAAAGCTGCTAAGAAAGCAAAGTTGAAGAAAAATAAAAAGCACAGCGCTACAACTAGATGCCCTGATGGTGTGAAGGCCGAAGCGTGAAGTATCACAAGAAAATTTTGTTTCCCTTTAACAAGAAGAGAGGTAAATTTCATTTCCTGTCTGGTGAAGCGCATTATTTGGCTGAAATGGCTATGCCAAATTTTCTTTAAAAGAGAAGTGTTTGATAGCATCTATCTTTGCCTAATAAGTCAAAACCTACTTGTTCTCCTCATAAGCACACTACAAGGCAAAGGGTAAAGCCAAAGGAAGACATAAATATCGGCTACATTTTCTCAAGTTATTGGTAAATGCGTGTGTTATTTGATTTGCAGAATATGCTGACTCTACTCCTTTCATAGTAAAAATAGCCAATTTTCACTTATAAAAGGGGATTGAAAAAGTACATACAAGGCTTCTTGTACTCTTTTTTGAAGGAAGCTCATGTAGCGCCGGTCCGCCGGATACTTAAAACCTAATATAAAGAGCTTATAATTGTTGAAATTCTTTACATTGTACGAAAAATGTTTATGTTCGTTTACTCATCATGTAAATAGATATTTACATTATATGTTTATAATTGTTGAATTCCCTTATAATCTGTAAGTCTGGTAAACTAAACAAGAATCTATTTAGAACAGTAAGGCAAGACATGTATATGAACAGAGTTGATTCAGCCCTTTTTCAGCTTATAGAGTTATAGATGGTAAAAATACAATGATTCCTATAAAAGAACCAAAGTAAAAACTTTTCAGATCAATCAATAAAGAGCAATTAGGGTCAATGCAATCTGTTGCCATTATACCTAAACAAATTACATAACCCAAGACAAAATAACATATTGCGGAGTCCAAACACTAAATGATTAAATGGTTCAAAAGACAGAATAGAGAGCCATTTCTAGACATTATATATTCAAGAGTTCATCTCATGTTCTCTCTACGCCTGTTGTATCGCGTGTTGGGCCGTACTCTATCCCGCTGAGGAACAGGCTCTACTCGCCTCTGTCGTTCAGGTGATCGTTGCACTATCTCCCCATTAACAAACAATTCAGCTGCGAAGACATGAAAAATATAATTAAGGTTACTCATTAAAAAAATGGGACAACTTATAATACTTTGTTGATTTAACTGAATTTATTTCACATGTGACTTACATATATGAGTTTTCTTGGCAAATTAGATAAAAAGTCAACTTTGTTTCATCAACGAAGACTCTTTATGGTTGGCATATAAATTAAAGCAAAATCACACAAGAATAAGTAACACAGTGTGAACAATGCAATGTCAGAAAAATCGGAATGGATATTGGATATGCTTGCAGAGAACAGGTTCTACCAGATTTTTTTGGAGGTGGGCTGGATCAAGAAATCAAGAAGATAAAGATTTCCAATTTATGAGTCCAGTTTATTTATTATTGATTGTATCAATATGAAATGACAACATTCATTACCATCATTCAGTGAATAGACATAAGATCCAACTTGGTCCTTTTTACTTTATGAATAGTCATTAACAGAGATTGAATCAAATTCTGCATAACATGAGAATGACAACTTAAATGCATATTTTTTATTTATTTTACCTGATTATGATTGGATAAAAAAACTCCAATAGGTTAAAATAAATGTCTCTGGAGGTTTAGAAAATATGATATACAAATTACTGATATGTAGGAATTAATGCAGTGGTTGTGACTGTTATAAACCCATTTTGAATAAAAGGAATAATCCCAACCTCAGTGGTGTTGGGTCTCTATTTTCTAAATCAGGAATAATCAATGAATTTTGATGTGTGCCATAAGAAATCTCTTTCAATAGTGTAGATGCGTTTTGATCCAGCCATATAAACTCTTATAACCCAAAGTTCTATAGAGGAGTAAACAGATTTTCCCAAAATTTAGAATGATCATTAAAAAGGGGAAACAAACTAAGAAGGGTGCGAGTCAAATGGGCACATTTCTTCAAGCTCTGGTGTTGACTTTGATAACATGAAATGATTGTCCATACTCCATAAAGAAGAGCTATGGGTGTATCATGAAGTGATGAAAGTGCAAAGGTAAGGAATCAAAATGAAGTAAGGTTAAACTTACCTCCATAGTCCTTATATTCAGCATCAACGTATGAATCAGGAAGAACAAACAGAACTCCAGGCGCACCTGTGAAATAAAAAATCAAACTTACACATATTTAACTGTTCAAGCTCAAAATGCAATTCAGTTATTAGGTCTAAAATAAGACACTCCAAACCTTCCATCCTATTCGCAGTCTCCTCGTCCACTTCACAACCAAAACCAAAGTATCTCTCACAAGAAACATTGTAAATTTTCTTCGTTGCCTCTTCTTCGCTGCAGATACTAGTTATCAGTTACTTATTGCGAAATAATAGTTCAGGAATTGTAGTATATATTACCTTCCGACGACTTGAGCAAGGGTTTTAATGTAGCAATCGATCATCTGCTGTTTGGTCGCGCCTTCACCCCCGGGCTTATCCATGACAATTAGCCAGTGCTCATAATCGCAGCCAGGGAAGAGCGGCGCCATCTCGGTTGGAGGACGGTCACTGGAACCGGGATTGTATGACGGGTTGCCGGATCGGTTGACGCGGAGTCGGGCCGGGTTGAAGCGGACGGGGTTGATCCCATACGGGTTGGAAGGAAGAATGGAGTGGGAAATGAGAAACGAGGGTTGCGGGGAGCAACGGGCCGAAGGGAGGTCCGGCTGCTGAGTAATAGATGGTGAATCGCAGGAGATAACGCGAGCGGTAGAATAAAAGCGGCGGGCGGTGGGAAGAGAGCGGTGGAAGGATTTCGCGAGCTTTGCTGTTGCAGCCATGAGCGTGGTAGCTAAAACGGCTGATGAAAAGACGCAAGTTGGCAGTGAGGGTTTTGGGGTTCAGAGTGGAATCTCAGGAGGGAGTATATGGTGAAGCCTGTAATACGAAAGAAAAATGTATGCATGGGAAGATTTAGAAGTGGAAAGATTTTTTTGTTACGGACGAAAAAGGAAAGTGGGAAGATTTTTTTTGTTACGGAGGGAGTATAACGCAAATAAACTGTTTGTCAATAACAGATAAGTTATTGACACTCATCTGTCCCCACAGATAAGTTGTTTATCAATACTTAATTCTAATTTCCCATGAAAATTTATCGTGAGAGATTTATTTCCAAAAGGCAAATATGATGGATTTAAATAAAGTGTTTCTTCATAAATATTATTGAAATTCCTTTCAAAAAAATATATTAATCAAATATTTTTTCAATATAAATATGATTAGGGGGTCCTTGATATGGATGCATTTTTATTATTACTTATTTGGATAAATTTTAATTGATTTTGATGAGTTTCTATCTACAAAACATTCCACCACAACTTCTAAGTATTCATCCGATTTCAAAAAACCATGATTTTTTAAAATCTATCTATTATTAAAGTTATTATTATATAGTCAAGCCTCTTGGAAATCATGTTTTTGAGTTTATCATCCTTATAACAACTTTTTCACAAAATAAGTAAGTTTTTTTTTTCACGCACTGAGTTGTGTAACAATCAATATAAGTAAAGTTGTGATTACGTTTCTTGATGGATTGACTAAAGTTACTGTAGAGTGTCATCTAAGTTATTTTCGTACACTTTTTCTTTATTTTATTAATAAAATATATTTTAAGTATAATCCTTTCATAATTCAGCATGACCAGTTAATGTGAATTTTTTTAAAATAAATATGTACAAATCACATTTTAGTCATAAATATGTGATTTTTTTAAAATAAATCAGTTAATCAAGCATTACAAAATAAAAATAAAACCTAGAGCCAGTTTGGTGACCATGTTTTTTGATTTATCAGTCATTTTTTCACCAAACACGTAAATTTGGATTTCGCTCGATGAGCTGTGTATATGTCCCATTAGGCTTTTCACATAGTTTAAGGAGTACTCCGGATTATATAGGTGTATTGTAGATAAAGTAAATAACATTGTAGATAAAGTAATTGGCAATTTAACACATGAAAAATCTTTTCCATTTACATACAAAGGTCGGAAACAACAAGGCCTAAAGTTGCGCCACTTTTTCAACTTTTGGAGTCATAATCATTCCAAATTTTCAGCCAACTATAAATAGAAAGTCTAAATCATTCACTTCGTACAACATAAATATTTTTATAACCGACCAAGAATCAATCAACATATTTCTCAAATGTAAGAAATATTTCATACTTCTCAGACTTAGGGTGATAATCGAGGGCACCTCTGAGACTTGTCATCATCATCAAGGGGGTCACAATAGAGGACAAACCCCATTTAAAAAATGTCATCATAGAGGGTGTTTTGGTCTGGTTGTTTTCTGGTAGCCTTCGTAGGGCGTGTTGTTGTGGTTGTGAGTAGGGTGTGTTGCAGGGTTGTGATCTCCAAGCCGTCCAAGACCACTGACATTTCTAACACATCATCCAAACCCAACATACCAAGGGAAAATCACAACCTCATCACCACAGAGCGTGCAAAAGTAATGGACTTCCTAAACCAAATGTCAATCCATGGAACGGTTAGGTGAGGTGGGTTCATGGAAGCTAAATCTTTCTTTAGCATCAATTGTCAAACCATTTACAGGATATGAAACACATCTGAGGAATGCAGGGATAAAGGAGAAACTGTCAGCCTTAACTCCAAGAGGAAGGGAAAGTGTAGAATGAAGAAGAAAGAATTGGACATGGTCACACTGTCAGCCCTTTCGTTCAACCAAAGGAGTTCAATTAGAAGCACTACAACATCTATGGGGGTTCCTGCAACAACTATACATCAATTAGTGAAAATGGAAGAAATACACCAAAAGTATAATCTAGTACCCGGTGAAATAAAGCCACACAGAACAACCAAAAGCAAAAGGTTCATACTGAGAGTCATGATATTATGTGTAGTAGGTAGTCCGAGATTCAATGATTTAGGTTAATGTACTTTTCATGGTAAGATAAGGATGTGGCCTTTTATTCACATCTTGGAGGCACCAAGGAAGAGCAAAAACAGACCCAAGGGCACACCAGAATTGAAGTCAATAATAGTTGTGAACAAACAAACATATATGAACATGATCATCAGTAAACTACTACCAATAATGCAGGAGAAATGGTCATTGGGATATCACATGACACTTTACATCCAACAAGATAATGTAATGCCACATATATGGGGAGATGGTCATGAATTCAAATTGGCAGTGCAACAGATGGAAATGGATGTGTAATCAATCAATCAATCAATCGTCAAATAGTCCGGATGTGAACATCCTTGATCTCACCCTATTCCGTCCTATTCAGTCTTTAAAGGATATATGCCCAACAACAAATTTTTCCGAACTTGTCCAGAACTGCAAGGATAAAACCCACATTCCTTGAATCATGTATTCATATGTTTACTGCTATGCATGATTGAAGTAATGAGATGAAGAGGGGCAATGCATATGAAAAAGTTCACATAAAGAAGGCAACAAATGCAAGCATTTAAATTAATGAGCCCCCCCCCCCCCCCCCAGAAATAGTGTGGGAGTGCATAAACTTCACAAAGACTCATAGTTTTGAATTATATTGTACATATTTCTTCTAAAGCATTCATGTAATTTTGTTATTCATGCTCAACCTTTTTCTTATTAGATGTGTAGTTTATTAGCTGATATTTTTTAAATTATTGTCTATTTACAGACTGATTAATGTCTATAAGTATACCTTAAGCAGAGCCCTCTATTTTTCGAATCATACGTCTATCTTTATGTTCAAAAGAAATGTATGGACCTAAAAAAAGAAATGTATAGACCTTTATGATCATATTCATGTGATTTGTATTGTACCTATGAATAAGAAATATAATAAGATATCATTTTAACAATTGAATCTATTACGTTTCATAGTTGTTTCATAATTTTGTACTAAAGTTTGTACTTAGTAATAAATAATGGCCATTTCAGAAACTAGCTGGAATCTTCGATCAAGATTTCGGTCAATTTCTAAATATCAACTATAGCTCTTTATGTTTATTGTCTTTTTACTGTCTAGTTATTGACTTTTATTGTGTAATTAATGTCTTACTCATATATAATATTTCTCAGCAAATACCTCTTTTGACCAAGACATTCAAGTACGAAGAACCCCTTTTTGTATACAATATAAGTTAATTGATATAAGCAACAATTGATTTATAAATTTATTAAAAGACAATAGTTTATTTTTCCGCGTTTTATTTTTTGTATTTGAAATATTTAAGATACCTTTAGATGATATGACTAAAACATTGATTTCTTAATTACCTACTTTTAAGACTCATTTCTTAAATAATTTGACTATAAAAGATGTATGTGATTGCATTTTGGATTTTGATTTGTAACACAAATAATGCATGACATTAAGTGAAATTTAATGTCTGCATTTTAGCATAAAATAGACATTAATATGGGTCTTAAAATAAAAGGTTTAACTGCACCAGTACAACTTAACCACTTAAATACTTCCAAACATATTGAGATGTGCGAACAATACATATTGAAGTGTCAAATTACATATTAACCACCACAAATGTGCTTGTTTATGATACATATGGGAAGAACCACTTAGTAAAGCTATTTTTTGTTGATGCATACAAATGTGGTTCTGTTGTCATCTTTTCTTGGTACATCTCCATGTCATCATTTGATACCTCAGTAGCTACCCTATCAAGCATTAGAAACTCATCAATTTTTATCACATATATCCTGCAATTCCACCTGCAAAATGACAACATATTAATTTCTATAGCATTTTAACCGTTTAAAATGACTTGAAGCTATTAAGTTTATGTTGTACATACTCATCCTGTTATTGTGGACTGTTGCACACCATTTCAATATCACTTTTACTTTTGCATTGAAGAATAGCGTGATCTTAGCCAGTTCATAGCTTAAAGTCTCAGACTGATTAGTTGCTCATCATAAGCTCTTTTGAAACTCATACATGATTCTGTTATGATTTTATCCTCTATTGTGAGCTTCTCAATTTCAACAAAAGCTTCATCTAATTTCTCTGTCATGCACTCATTAGTGATATATTAATTGTCTTTATGATCTTATAAAAATGTCAATCATACATAGATAAGTTAATGATACTCGTGTCATTAATAAAGCTCAATCGAGCAACAATAATTGACCAAACATCATTTGAAATCATGTCTATGAAGACTGTATCAAAACTACAATCTCTTAGCACTACATCAATTGACAAAAAAAAATTGAAATCATTCTCTATGAGAACTATACCAAAATCACATTTAATCACATCATATCAAATCAAACACTGATGCATATCTTCTAACTTTTGAAGTCAGTAATTTCAACTCAAATATTTGATAATTGCAGCAAATTGCCCAATCTGTATTGTACTCATTACTTCATACTTTCAGAATATTAAACAAAAGTAGTTACAGATATTACCTAGGCACATGGAAGAACCTTTAGTTTCTCTTCTTCCTTTTTTTCATTCGTTGTTTATTTCTTCCCCATTGTTTCGAAATCATCGTCTGAAATCCTCCTTTTCTGTGTTTTCTTCATTTTCTCCCTTGTTTCCTTCTATTTTGCACCCATTCCTTCACTCTGTTTATGCTTCAGTTTTGCTTAGTAGGAGTCTTCTTTCACTTCTCCGCACTTCTTGGTAACGGCTTCGCTGTCGGCGAACAATTTGTTAACTTCGATCGAAAAAAATCTCACAAATTTTGGACTAGTGGCACACAGTTTTCTTCATAAGTGAAGAAAAATCGACTTTTTTCGTAGCCGGATTTCTTGGTTTCACTTTCCGGTTGCGATTCAACCGGATGCTATGGAAAAGAATTCAGGTTGCGATTGTGTTCGCAGTTAAGTCTGCGCTTGTTTTCATTGTTGAGAGATCTGCGATTGTTTTTGCCGATCTAGTTCTCCATGTTAGTTGATCCCTTTT